TTAGTCCACTACTCTAAAACTAACTTGTGCATTGGAGTGTTAACCTTGTAGGCCCATCATGCACTACCACTCCGAAGCTATTGAAGCCTCCGCACCCGAGACATGCCTCGCCAATTCTGGTTCCTTAATGAAATAGTGGTGTAAATGGGATTTTTATAACACACACATGTTCTTGATGGCAAGAATTGGGGAAAATGGGTGACTCAAATGAAGGTGATTTTTGGTGTATAATATGTGTGTTACATGGTGGAAACAAGTGTTGAAGCTTTAACCGAAGATGAAAATGTAGCACAAATGAAAGCACACAAGGAAGACAAAAAAAGAGATTGCATTGCCATATTCCTCATTCATTAAAGTGTTAATTTGAAGGTGTTTGAGAAAATTGATAGTGAGACCAGTTCCAAAGCAGCATGGGACAAGCTTAAAGATACTTTGGTGATGATGCCAAAGTCAAGAAATTCAATATACTAACATTGAGAATGGAACTTGAGTTGTTGTAGATGAAAATGATGAAAAGATAGGTGACTATATCTCAATATTGCAAACCCTGACAAACCAAATGAAGCAATATGTTGAATATCTCAATGAGGTGAATATCATTGAGAAAGTATTAAGAACATTTTCTTCCTTCTTTGATCACATAGTGGTGACCATCGAAAAGACAAAGGACTTGGATATCATGAAGTTTGAAGATTTTCAAATCACTTTTGAAGCTCATGAGATGATGGTAGTTGAAAGAGTAACTGAAAAATAGGATGAACAAGCACGTCTTGCCAAATTTTAGAAGCTAGAAGCAAACAAAGAAATATGGAAAAAGAAAAAAGGAAAGAGCCAATTCAAAGAAAGAGAAAAAGGTGATGGTAAGCCTGAAAAATCAAGCAAGAATGGTGGAGGGCTTGTAGAGAACCAAAGCAATATGAAGAGTTTTAACAAAAGAAATGTATAATGCTACAATTGTGAGAAGATGGGACACTATTTAGATGATTTTTCACTAGGAAAAGGAAAGAAGCCCAATAATGGTGAAGAAGAAGCCAATATATCTTAAGAAAACTCTATCCTAAACTCAGATCCAGTTATGCTCATGGATGTAACTAATGTTGAGATTTCAAATTCCCAAATTGGGTATCTTGACATTTGTTGCATCAATCATATGACTGGAAGGAAAGACTGATTGATTGATTTTGATGAAAGTAAGAAGGCCAACATAAAATTGGCTGACAACAAATCCATTACGGTATGAGGAATGTGTTGCAACTGGTTTTAAATCAGAGTCGCCACCCTTAATTTTTATCCTAAGGAAGGGAATATAAAGGAATAACCCTAAAAAAGTTCAGAGATTCTAAGTTTGACTCAGTTTTAGATGAAGGGAAGGTGTTAGGCACCCCCTCATCTACCTTGTTCACAAGGATACTAGGTTTAGAAGCGCATTTTTTAAGAAATAGGGTTTTAATTTATTATTAAGGGAAATGGTTTAAATTTTAGTTAGGGGAATTCGCCACGATTTTGATCGTATGCCTACGTATCCTCTTAGGAGGAATCAAATTCTCATTTTGTAGTTTGCGGTTGGTTTGTGCTTTTTATGAATTACAAAGATATTCGCATTTCCCGCATGTTTAATCTAGATGTCGTGAACAACGGAGATTATTTATACTAAACACGCAGTCTAATTGAATAAATTCGTAATTCTTTTCGAAAGTTGATTATTGAATTGATTTAAATTAAAAAATAGGTTTGTAGTATGTTGAGTATTTTTTAATATGCTAATTATTTTTAAAAAGGGAATTATATTTAAATGCATAAAAATAAGTTTTAATGCAATAAGTAAAAATAATGTTTTAAATAAGTTTAGAAAATAATATAATTTATGTAATAATTAATAATAGTAAATAAAATTAACTATGTTAAATACATAAAAACAAATATAATAATTATTGAAACAAAAAATATAACATATAATATAAATATATATAATAATTATTATAATAAAAATTAGAGAATATAAAAGTAAAAAAATGATAAAATAAAATAAAAATAATTAAAAAAATGTAGGGGTGTGAAGTATATAGGGCTAGTAAAAAGGTGGGGGTTCTAATAGAAAGGGCCTGAATTCAGGCCCAAAAGGCCAAGGGGTGCGTTTTGTGCTTAAGCAATAAAAGAGGGGGGGTGACAGTAGGGTCCTAGTCCAGATCTTGGACTAGGCCCAAATAAGGTTGGGGTGCGTTTTAGCGTTGCTATGAAAAATAGGGGAGGGTGGCGTTGTTATGGGCTTAGGCTCAACACGGTTGGGAGTCCATTTGGACTCCGTGTGGGTGGTTACACCGTAATGACATGGACACACGCATTTTTGAACACAAGATTGGGATCCTAAAGATGCGATGGAGGGTGTGTAGTAATGCTCATGGACTCGCGTGTACATGATTATTAAGGATAATAAAATTTGTTTTTTACAAAATAGAACAGAAAAATTTTTGTTTACCTCTCTTCTTCTTCACCCATTTTCTCGTCTCTCTCTATACAACAAAAACCCTAGCCTTCTTGAACCCGCGGAGGCGCGACCCCCTCTCTCTCTCTCTTTTCTCCACCCTCTGCTTCTTCACCTCACAAACCCTATCTCGTTCTCTCTAACCCTAGCCATATTGTTGTGAAACCCTATCCCCAAATGACACCCTAGTACGACCATTCAACAACAAAAACTCAGCAAAGTCTTACAAGAGATGAGTCTCATCGTGAACCAGCGTGAACTTCCTTACAATCTCCTTCATTTGTCTGATTTGTTTGGTCTGATATGCTTTTTCTGTTTTGTTTCAGGTGCGGCGACGGGTGATGGCAGAAGACAACGAGAATGACAGTGGCAAGCGATTGGGATTTAGGGTTTCAGATCTTGAAACCCTAAACTGGGGCGAGTCATACGGGCTAACGGCGGCGCAGCGGAGCTCCTTTATTCCCTCAGGGCCTTCGTCTCTGCAATAATTTGTTCATCTTATTCCCTCTTTGTAATTTCTTTTTCTGTTTATTCTCTTCTCCATTATTACTGTAATAACCTCTTCGCTTTTATAGTGTTTTAGGGTTTACAAATTAGGAAACAATTTAGGAATTAGATTAGGAAATGAGTTAATTTTTCTGTAAATTGGTCGTATTTTTGTATAAAGATTTGAATTATGTTTAATCCTATTTCTTTTTATATTATGTTTCCGTATAAAAGTTTTGATTGAGTTTTAATTATGTTTCTGAATTTGGGTTTATATCTTGATTCTGTATTAAGCATTTGGTTCAGAGAAAAAGAATACAGTAGTTGTTATAATCCATAGAACATGCATTTTATTTGCAAGTAATTTGTACAGTAGCTGTTAGAACCCTTAAGCGTGCATTACTTTTGCCTCAATTTGTACAGTGCGTGCTTTTGTTTTGTTTTGGGCCAAGCACCTTTTTACTGCTTTGGGCCTGCGTTTTTTTTTTTTAGGTTCGGACAAAGAAATCCCAATCCTGGCTTTTAGGCATTTAAAAAAAAAGCAATTTATTTTGATTAAGTGTTTTAGAATATAATGCTTAATAATAATAATATTAACATAATTTAATAATGGTAAAAAAAATAAAAGTGATGTTGATACTAATAATAATAATATTTATAATTAAAACAAAATATTCTTTTTCAAAACAAATTCAAAAATTGAAATGGGCCATGCTGTTTTATAAAAAATATTGGGCTTCAAATAAATAGATTGCTTTATTCGAAAACCTAAATGGACCTTATGATTCAATTGTATTAGGTTTTAAACAAAAAAAATGTTTTATACACCACTCAATCTAAATGGGCAAGATTTCTTAAATAGCACGTACCTCCCTTCTTAACTTTGAAATGGCACTTTAAAAATCTAATGGCCTATCAGATATTGATGGTCCATTTTGGATCAACACACCCCTCTTCCATGTTATACACCCCTCGTAGAAATAAAAATCAACAATACGATTTATTTAAAAAGAAACCTAAATATAATAAGGATAAGGAAATTTTGGGGTATGACAAAATGGGACATGTAGCCATACAAAAGAATAATGATAAAGTAGCATTGATCAAGAATGTATTGATTATGTCATACATTCAATTTAGTTTTCTAAGTGTATGAAAAATAGTGCAAAATGGTTTTTCAGTGGTCATAGATATTGATTGCCTGAAGCTCTTTGATCACAAAAGAAGACAAATCCTGAAATTTTTTGCTTGTCAATAAATAGAACCTTCAAGGTACGCGTCCAAAATTCTGAACTAAGATCTCTTGCTACAACATTTGGTGAACATGAAGCTGATTTAAAGCAGAAAAGATATGGCCATTTGAATTACAAAAACCTAAACCAAATGGATTCAGAAAGGATGGTGATTAAAGTCTCGCATTATTTATGTTGAATTTTGTTTGAGTGTTTATATATGATGATAAACTACCTTCACTAGATGTCAAGTTGTGGGTTGGAAAAATGATCCAAACAAATGAACCTTCAACCAAAAAAAGTTCTTTTAAATTTGTATTATATGATTTTTAAATAAATATTTAAAATAATTTAATTAAAATTTTAAATTTATTATATGAAAAAATTAAATAACAGATTATCCTTCTCTTTATTTCCAAATTTATTATGTAAATAAATAAATAACAAATTATCCTTCTCACTATTTCCAACTCATTAAAATTTAATTTTTTATTCTAATAATCAATGTCACGTATGCAAAGTTGAATGAAACCATCTAAATCTCAAGAGATATAAATTTTAGGGAACAAAAACTTGATTTTTTAAATAGAGACTAAAAGTTAAAAAATATCAAAATAAGAGACTAAAAGTGAATTTAAGTCTAATTTTTTTATACCAACTATGGGCCAATTTAACAAAGACACTTGTCGAGAAAGAAGGACAACAGGAAAGCTAGATATCCCTTATCAATCCTCAAAGGTGTAGATGGTGGGAAATGACAACTGGTTGAGGTTCAAATTACAGAAGGATCAATTGAGGATATGGGGATTGGGGATCCAAAGAGAAGGCAAATTGAAGATGTTGAGATGACTCATACTAAGAGACTAGAGGTGGTGTTTTAAGACCAACACCGCTTAACCAAATGAATCTCATAAGTTGGAACTGAAGGGGTTTAGGGAATCCCCATGCAGTTCGAGACTTATTGAGGCTCCTTCGTAAAGAAAACCATAATTTTGTGTTCCCTATAGAGACTCGATTAAAGGAAGACGACGCCCTCCTCATTAAGAATACGACACGTTTTTCTAGTTGTTTTATTGTGGAGTGTAACAGTAGTGGCAAGGAAAGAGCAGGAGGTTTATTTCTTTTTTGGGATGATTCCCTATTTGTCAATATTTCTTCATCCTCTCTAAATCATGTGTTTGCTCTAATCCAACAGGATGATATTGAGCAGCAGTGGTCTTTAGTTGGTATTTATGGTTTTATTGAGGAACATAACAAGAGGAAAATTTGGGAGTTAATTAAGGAGATTATTAGGGAGGTTAGTGAGTGTTGGTTATGCGTAGTAGATATTAATGATATAACACAAGCTAGTGACAAATTTGGAAGCATTGCTAGATCAAATACTCAGTTCTCTTGGAGTAGACAAGCGATTGATAGCAGTGATCTTCAGGATCTTGGATTTGTGGAATATCCTTTCACGTGGACTAACGGAAGACAAGGGAAGAGGAATATCCAATGTAGACTCGACAGAGGCTTGCGAAATCTAAGTTTCTTAATTACTTCTCGACTACTGTTTTTCACCATTTACAACGCTTTGGTTCAGATCATGCTGCTTTACGTGTTGAGATCGTGAGATCTGCTGAGATGTTTGACGATCGGAGGAAGTTTATCTTTCATTTTGAGGAAGTTTGGTCGAAGGACACGAGATGTAAGGAGTTAGTCAGGAAGAATTGGAGTGGTGTTAGCATAGGGTTCAACCAGAAAATTAAGGCTCTGAAGAGTTTGCAGTTGGAGTTCAAGGAGTACAGAACAAGTTATATTGCTAGAGATGTTAAGCGAGTTGAGGAATTTCTCAAGCATGATGATTGTTGTCCTGCTAAAGAGGAGAAGCTGAAAAAGTACAAGGCCCTGGAGAGACAAATGTGTTCTTTTCTTAGAATGGAGGAGATTATATAGAGGTAGAGAAGTAGAGCCTGTTGGCTTAAAGATGGAGATAAAAACACAATTTTTTGCCATGGGAAGGCTGATCAAAGGAGGAGGAAAAATGCAATCAAAAGACTTAAGTATTATGTGGGCTCCTAAAAAAGTGGTCAACAACAATGCAAAAGAATTCTTGTTGAGTACTTTCAAGGTATTTTTTCTTCCTCGTCACCATCTGATTTTTGTGGGGTTTGTGGTTTTGTAGCTAATAAATTATCTAAGTAGCATAAAAGTTGGTGTACTAATTTATTTTCAAAAGCATAAGTGAAGGAGGCTTTGTCCCAGATGCATCCTATAAAAGCTATGAGGCCTGATGGATTGCCAGCACTCTTCATCTAGAAGTATTGGCACATAGTAGAAGGAGATATTTGTAAGCAAGTTCTCGACATTCTCAACAACCAGGTTGACCATAGACCTCTCAACAACACTTATATTCCCCTTATTATGAGGAAGAAGAAACCTAGATACCTAGATAAGTTCATACATATTAGATTGTGCAACGTCACTATGAAACTGTTGACGAAGACCATTGCTAACAAAATTAAGAGCATATTGTCTGATATCATTGATGAAGAGCATAACGCTTTTGCCAAAGGGAGATTAATAACTGACAATGCTTTAGTGGCTATGGAATGTTTTTATTGGTTGAAGAAGAAGGATAAAGGTAAGAAAGGGGTCATGGCTTTGAAGTTGGATATGTCGAAAGCTTATGATAGATTAGAGTTGGAGTTTGTCACTAATACTCTGGCTACAATGGGCTTCCCCCTCCTTGGTGGATCTCATAGGGAATTGTATCTCCACCATGAAATATGAGATACTTGTCAATGGCAACCCAAGCAAGAGCTTTTTTCCTGCGAGGGGCCTCTGCCACGGGGAGCCCCTTTCACCTTACTTGTTTGTTTTATGTGTAGATGTGCTTTCGGGAATGTTGAACAGAGAAATCAAGAATCATAACCTTCATGGTCTCAGGATTTCTCAAAAGGCACCATTCATATCTCATCTCTTCTTTGAAGATGATAGTCTCCTATTTGCTAGGGCCATAACTTCAGAAGCTGGCGCAATTTGCTGATTCTCCACAGATTGGGAGTTCAAAGTGTGGAAAACCACTCAAAATACTTAGGACTTCCAATGGTGTTTAGAAGATCCAAGAAAGAAATATTTTGTGGAGTGAGTTTGGAAGAAGATTAAGGGATGAAAGGAGAAATTCCTATCGAGGGCTAGCAAAGAGATTTTGATCAAGGTGGTGGCGCAGGAGATTCCAAGTTACATAATGAGTTGCTACAAGTTACCAGAAGGAATCTGCAAGGAAATTGAGTCAATGCTAGCAAATTTTTGGCGGCGTGCCAACAATGGATCAAATAAACTCATTGGATGAGTTGGGAACGACTATCAGTGGCTAAAGGATCGAGAGGGATTGGATTTTTTGGAATTAGTGATTTTAACATCATCCTTTTAGGTAAACAATGTTGGAGATTGCTTCAAGATGGACACTCATTATTTGCTAAAGTCTTAAAGGAAAGTATTTTCCCCTAAGCGACTTTTTGGAAGCAAATCTGGGATTCTCGCCCAGCTATGCCTGGAGGAGCATCTTAAGCGTGAAGGACTTGATAGCATGTTGTTCCAAATGGAGGATTAGAGATGGTTCCAAGGTGAAAATCTGGCAGGACCCCTGGATTCCCACTAGTCCAGGTTTAAACCCTTAATTTGAAGGGAGAACATAGAGGTTGATAAGTTGACATTCTCCTTAATTGACCATGATTTGAGGTGCTGGGATAGAAAAGCGCTTAGTGACACTTTAAATCCCCAGGATGTTATAAAAGTTTCTAGCATTCCTTTGTCTTCTAGATGTTTGGAGGACAGGAGAATTTGGAACTATGAGGATGATGAGGACCTCTCTGTTTGGAGCGCTTATCATCATTTAGGGGATGAGAGAAGGAAGAACTTGGATGGCCCCTCTGGTGTGCATTTAGGACTTTTTTGGAAAAGGTTATGGAAGGTGCCTATCTCTGCGAAGGTTCTGGAAAAATCTGTTGAAATTTGGACCGTATTGCTTCAAAACAGAACTTCACTCTCCACCGTGATTCCGCCATTGACAACACAGAAGAAGAAAATGTCAAGAAATCTAGACTTTTTGTTCTTAGACAAATTCCTCCTAAACCTCACCACCTAAAAATTCACCCCCAATCCACAACCTCTATAAAATCCATCATCCAAGCTTGGTCTGAACTCCGAAACACCCTTCAATTTTCCTCATTCAATCAACACCATAACCAACATCTCCAAACCCTAGTAAATTCTTAAACCTCTCTCCATGTCGCTGATCCACGAGCAAAACTCCTTCTTTCTATTCTCAGTGCTTCAAATTTCTCTATCCCCCATGATTCCCTCCCTCTTTTTTTCCGCATTCTTTATATATGGACACAAAAATCCACAAAACCCACTAAACCTAGTTTTGATATCATTGATTCAGTAGTCAAGATTATTTCAAAGCTGTTTTTATCTTCTTCTACTCAATTTGATCATATTTTATTATTCTCTGAATCTATTTTACTTCTGGGTGCTTTTTCTTTTGTGAGTTCTTTATATGAGAAGACTAAAAATCTATGCTTGGATGTTTTTTGTAAACTGTTGGTAGAGAAATGTAGGTTGGTTTGTTTGGTTGATGAGTTTGTGCATAATGTTCTTGCTGGAATTGGGTATGCTTTGTCGTCATCTTCTGTGAATGTTCATTTTGTAAGAATATTGGAATGTTTGATAGGAATTTAGGGGAAAGATAATGATGGTCTTCGAGGTAGTGTTGCGTACGAACTCATGGTTCTTATTTTGGTTGATTGGGTTGCGTCAAATTTGATCAGTTCTAGATTTTTGGATAAAGTGGATGTTTTTGTGAGGGAAATTTTCGGGAGTTGTAGGAAAAGTATGTAGTGTTTCCTGTTTTTATGTCGGGGATTGGAGTTTTGAGAGTTAGTGATAGGTATGCTTCTGTGACCGGTGTTAAATTTGATGTTGTTGCTAGAATGAGGACTTCTGCGACTATTCGGGTAGAGGCTTTAGTAAGTGATTTAGTTCCTAGGACATTAGGGTTTAGTAACTTAGGCAGTGATCTTCAAGATAGACTTTTCCTTCAGTGTGTTTCGATAGGATTGACTCGAACAAATTCATTTTCAGGCCATTCCTCATTGTTTGTTTGCCTTGGTTTGTCGTTGTTAACTGGGGTACTTTCGTTGGCTCGTCTTTATGAATTTGTTTTTGAATTGCCATCTAGTACCAGTGAACTAAAGGTTAATGAGATTAAAGAACATATAGATAGTATCCTCTTTAAGGAAGCAGAAGCTGTAACGGGTGTTTTCTACAATCAATATATTTTAGCAGATGAAGAAAATAAGAATTTAGTAGAGAATCTTATATGGGAATATTGTCGTAGTATTTACTATGGACACATGAAAGTGGCTATGCATCTTAAAGGCAATTATGATGAGTTGCTTAAGAATTTTGATAAAATCGCGGAATCTGCTTTCCTTATGGTTGTAGTTTTTGCTCTAGTTGTAACTAAGCATAAATTGAGCTCAAAATTTGATCAATAAATAAAAACGGAAGTCTCATTGAAGATACTAGTATCATTTTCTTGCATGGAATATTTTCACAACGTACACTTGCCAGAGTACATGGAGACAATTCGCTAGGTAATTGCAAGTGTTAACAAGAATGAGCATGCTTGTACGTTTTTTTGAACTCTATACCCTCTTATGGTGACTTGACAAATGGGCCAAGTATGATTTATTCAAATGCATTTTTATTTGAATTGCTTTTTTTGTTTTCTTTTATGGTTTCCATTTTATAATATTTTCTATTCTTCTATACATGGTGTGATACGGTGGCAGAACCGACTGTTATATTGGTTTTGCGTTTGTATTCGCAAATGTCATGGTAAGCAAGAGTCGCCACCGACTTTTATTTCATCCAACAAAGGAAAAGGAAAAAGAACAGAAAAAACATTTTTCGAGATGTTTCTGAGCACGGGGGGTAGATTATAGAAAGGGAAGGTGTTAGCACCCGTTCTATCTGTGGTTTTCCACGGGCTCTTAGGTACTTGCTCATTTTGAAATTGCTTGTATGTATTTTGAAAATTTTTTTGTTTAACTTCGTGATAACCCTTGTATCTATCCTCAAGAGTGTGACGAAGTTGTTTTTGAAAATTGTTTTGAAAGTGTTTGTTTGAGCAAGTACCTAGGAACTATCTATCTACTCGAAAAAAGTTTGTTCATTTTCGTTTCCTTTAGACAACGCTATCCTACTATTAAGGAGTAGGTAGCTCCATCATTGGTGAAATTCTGGCTGCAGATACTCAATGTCACGTTCAATGTTATGACACCGTATCTGACTTACTATATGACAGTAAATACAAAAGCGATAAAGAACACAGTCAATTGTTTACCCAGTTCAGTGTGCAACAACACCTACTCTGGGGGCTACCAAGCCAGGGAGGAAATCCACTATAAGAGATGTTAATTCAGGAATAAACCAACCAGTTTATCTCCTTCACTTAAGACCTACCCAATGCAATTCCAATCTAAGTACAACTTAAACCTGAGTTCCTACTCACTCCCCCTCAATCACAGCAGTGATACATAAACCAATTTGACTTAAGAATTGAAGACATTCTTCAAAAACAAACACTTGATTAAACTTCACAGCTTTTTAATCAAGCAACACAATCACTCGTTCTTCACAGCTTTGAGTGATGCACACAACTAAGTTGACTCTGCTTCACAGCTTTAGTCAAGGAACATTCAAACACTCTTGCTTCAAAGCTTAGAGTGCTACACAACCCTTACAATTTGAAACCTATTCAAAGGCACTTATCACAATGATAATTGCTTGGAGTACAATGAACAAATCTATACAGATTACAAATGATCTTCTGATCAAAATAAAAGCGATCCTTGAAAAACAGCAGCTCTGTTGAATATATAGCAGCTGCAACTTCAGTTAGGGTTTCCAAAAACCTAGGGTTAATTCCGTTTGACCTAAAGACCAGGTCACAGGACTTTATTAACCAGGTTAGGGTTGAGCTAGGTTACCCCTCAGAAAACGCAGGATTCTGTTCAGGAAGGACTGGGTTATTTCCTGAAAAAACTCAGACTTATCCAATCCTGCAATCCTGTTAGTTCAGAACAGGATGTCATAACATCTGTTATGACATCTGAGAAAACCTGTCTACTGATTTAGCAAAATGTGATCATTTTGCAAAATGCTCAGATACACACTTATAAACATCAGTATTTGAATTACAATATTTTTCTGCAAAGGTACCTAATGAACCAGTACAAACTGAACTAGAATGTTATGACATCAGTCATGACATTCACACATACACTTGGGATTTACCAAAAATGCAAGCCAATACCTAAACACCTACAAACTCCCCCTTTGGCAGATTTTTGGCTAAAGACCCTAAACAATCAGAGATAGATAGCAGCAGAAATAAGTGACAGCAGAAAAATAGAATGTCAAGTACTAATTAAGTAAGTACCAAAATATTCTCCCCCTCTTTAGCCACAAATGGGCCAAAGATACAACAGAATACAAAATAATAAGATCAGCAGCAGAAAACAACAGAATACACTTCCAAACTCCACCAGATATCAGCAACCAACCTTCAAGCACTGTCATCAGATCCAGAGTATTCAGGCTTCTTTCTTTTCTTGTGAGCGATGTCAGCATTCTTCTCTTTGTTTGATGTCTCAACATTCTTAGAGACATCTGGATTTGTTTCAGCATTTGAGCTTTCTTGGTTCAGAGGAACAGAAATGCCAGGAACTGAGTGGTTCTCGTTCAGAATTCTTGAAACAATTTTTGCTATTGCTTGATTAACATAGGCTGTCCCTTCCTTATTTGTAATTTCAGGGGGAACTGAAGAAGAAGGATGAGATGGATTACCAGAGGCATAAGCTTGGGGTTTTCCTGCATGTCTTGGTCTCAACTCTTTGACCTTGGTGGGGTTAGTTCCCACTTTTCTATGAGAGGAGATCTCCAGAACGTCAGAGTCCAGACAAGAAGAGATTGTCCCAGAATCTTGATCAGAGGAAGAGGTTGAAATGGTCGTATTGGATGATGATGGTGTTTGAGACATGTTGACAGTTTTAGAGGACCAACAGCAACTGAGGAGAAATTTCTGATTGAGAGACTGGGTTTTGATGAGGAGACGAGAGAGGAAGGAAGCAAGGGAGTGTCTATTCAACTTCTTAAAAGAATTGTAGGAAATGAGAAAATACAATTTTAAACCAATCAGAACAGGCATAAGTCCTTTGATCCTTGTTTTAAGCAAAATTAATTGCTACAATTCCTCATGTTGGCAAATACCCAGCTTACCCCTTAAGTTTTCAAATTGGTTTGCATCCAAAGCCTTGGTAAAAATGTCAGCCAGCTGTAGCTCAGTGGCAACATGTTCCAATTTGATTGTCTTCTCTTCTACAAGGTCTCTGATAAAGTGATGTCGTATGTCAATATGTTTGGTCCTGCTATGCTGAATGGGATTCTTGGATATGTTGATTGTACTCAGATTGTCACAGTATAATGTCATAACATCTTGTGTGACATTATACTCAGTGAGCATCTGTTTCATCCATATCATTTGAGAGCAGCTACTACCAGCTGCAATGTATTCAGCTTCAGCAGTTGAAAGAGACACACAATTTTGTTTCTTGCTGAACCAGGAAACCAGATTACTTCCCAAAAAGAAACATCCTCCAGAGGTGCTTTTTCTATCATCAGCACTACCAGCCCAATCAGCACCACAGTAGCCAGTCAGAGCTGGTTCACAGCCATGAGTATACATCAATCCATAGTTGTAAGTACCACTTACATACTTCAAAATTCTCTTCACTTGATTGATATGACTGACTTTGGGATCAGCTTGGTATCTAGCACAAACTCCAACTGCAAAGGCAATATCAGGTCTGCTGGCAGTTAAGTACAACAAGCTTCCTATCATGCTTCTGTATAGACTTTGATCCACCTTAACCCCACTTGAATCTTTGGAAAGCTTTAGATGAGTAGGAGCAGGAGTCCTTTTGTGACTTGCATTCTCCATACCAAACTTCTTTACAATATTCTTAGCATACTTGCTTTGAGATAAGAAGATTGAGTCCTCCATCTGTGAGACTTGTA